AAATGCCAAGTCTGCTGTGTTCCCTCACACTGAAACCTTGCAACGTGCTTGCACAGCAACAAACACAAACTCAGAGCATTTCAGATCTATTACAGCTCACACTTCCAAACACTACCACCACCTGTGACTCAGGGCTCACAGAGTGCTTAGGTGGACAAAGCCAGCATGCCAGCACTCCTGTGTGCACCCCTGGTCATAGCATGCAGTGGTTCAGAGCAATTCATTCGGCAGACTGGAAAGACAAGCACAAAAATGTACCACGCATAGACCACATGCATTAATACCTCATCTGTGAGCTCTCTTCCAGAATTAGACCTGGGTCTTTGTGGTCCAAGTACTTCATTTGCTGTTTGGCCATCGGCTGCTTTTCCATTTTCCTGCAGTTTTGCAGACATAGGTTATCTCTGTTGTAACACTACAGTAATAGCCAGTGTTATATTTCTCAAGCTGATAACCATTTCCAATACCTGTGCGGTGACTATTTTATCTCCACTAGTTGCACTTGCCAGGTCCAAAGAAGGCTGAGAATCTTTGGGCACTCCCTCTGCCACTGTACTTGGAGTTAGAAGATCACCAGCTGAGAAGTGCTCTCGAGAAACTGAAAAGAGAATCACATTAGAGAGAAAAGCATAATGCTGCCATAGGCTACAGCGTGTCAGAGTCCTAACATCACTCTTACACTCCTGAACACCCCTTCTGACAAGTTTTTCTTTTTAAACATCAATTGCCACCAAATCTGCCTTATCAATTATGTATTTCATCTAGAGGTGAAGGCACAGGCATGATTTCATGCCTAATCCTCTGAAGTTTTATTAACTTTTTTTTTTAAGGTTATTTACCTTAACTAACCCACAACTACTCATTTTCACTACATCCCAACTTGTGTTTCTATGCAGCTGAAGATTGAACACATTTTACTTGGAGTCTGTAACTTAGTTTCCGTATTGATAAGGCAACTTCTTGCTAGAGAAGGGCTGGAGCAGCTCTGCTCTGGAGCCAGGCTGAGAGAGCTGGGCTGGGGCAGCTGGAGAAGAGAAGGCTCCTCAAGGGGAC